GCAAGCCTGCCACGCACACTCCGGACCAGTTTCCTGGTTGGGCCAAAAGTACCAACATAGGTGCCTTCACTTCCAGACACTAGAGGATTCAGGGATGGTCAGTGCCAGGCTTGCCTTGGCCAGGGATGGAAAGACAGGGTCCGCATTCTGATTCTAGTTCTCGCCCATCCTGGCACCTGCTCACAGACGGGGCGCCGTCCTCCCCCGGGGAGGCGCAGCTGCATCCACCAGGCCTCCCAAGAGGGACCACACTGTTGTTTCAACGCGGCGCCAGGGGGGGGCCTCAGCGCTGGTGAAGGTGACAGGTGTTCCCAGACCGTCTTGGGGTCATGGGGGTGAAGGTGGGAGTGGATCTGAAGTAAGAAGTTAGCAACTGGACCTTGGGGCTGCCACTAACTGTGGTCGCTCACTGCCTCCGTTCCCCCAAGAGATAAAGGGGCCCTCCCCACCTGCCAGCCTGAGCCATCCTGGCTGGAATGCCCACTGCAAACATGGAGACCGGCAGGGAAGCCTGCGCATGCTCAAGGGCAAGTCATCTTTGAGCCTCCCTGTTAGATGGGCCCAGTGATTCCTCTCAGAGCTGCAGGGACAAAATGTGACCATGTAGCTAAATGAGCCTGACAACCAGTAAGAGTGAGCACTCGTTCCCACACTCCCTTTCCTCCCCTGGGCCAGCCCACCCGGAGCTCACCATCTTCTGCAGTGTTGAGTTTGAGGCTCTTGCCCTTGAAACTCAGCTGTCCCCCGGCCACCTGGGTTTTGGCGAGCGTCTCTGCCAACTTGGCAATGTCTTCAGAGGCCATGCTGGACACACTGGTGGGCTCCCCCAGGAACCTGCAAACTGAGGTGACCAAAGTCTCATTAAGAGAGAGGAGGCTCATTTCCAGAGAACATCACAGAGCTGCCTGGGCACATGAAATGCACTCACGAGTCGTTTATAAGCAAACTATGTTAGCAAATCAGTTCAAGTCATAAGTATACACAAGTGCTGTAGGATGCCACTGATGTGATTAGTTTTGTGTTTTAAATAAAATCTTTAAATGGCAGAAAACAATCCAATTTGGGAGAACGGTCCTTTGTGATAAGATGGAGGATGGCTATGAGTACTGTGTGCACCACATCAGGTTCACTGGTTAGCTGGTGGCAGACCGCTCAGAAGCAACATCAAATTTATGGCAGCCTGCATTTTTCTTTCACACGATGACAAAGAATGCTATTTTACTGCCCTCTTCAGTGACAACAGGTGGCTGACATTATTATGCCCTATAAACATATATGTACTTTGTGTGTGGAAAAAACCCAAACAAATATACTTTATCTCTATTTTTAAAGTAATGAGAGCTACAATGAATGAGAAGGTAACTGAGACCCATGTTATGGAGAGAATGTTTTCATATTTAATGTTTGTAATTATTTTATTTTTTATGTTATTCTTTACTTTTTATTTAATGTATTGTGGAACACTGGTTAACAAAATGACACAGGTTTCAGGTGCACAATTCTACAACACGCCATTTGTACACTGTATTGTGTTCATCACCCCAAGTCAAGTTTCCTTCCATCACTTCTTATAAAGAGTCTGCCCCCCACCCCTCCTTGTAATTATTTTCATTATAATGTAATCTGTTGCTAAAGCTAATGTTATTGTAAAACTCGAGTTTCTGTATAATTTTAAAACTGCACAAAACTGTACCTGAATACTTGG